AAATGAAGACATCCTGATATATCGTGAAAACAGTTACGGCCGGAAGAAACATTAAACCGATTTGACCTTTGTCTCATGCAGACAAAATTATTCTGAGAATGACAGGGAAATTTGCTGTCTAGGCGTGGTACACATATTTATGAAGTTCCATTTTAATACATTCCGCAGTTCAGAAGTTATTATCTGTACCAGAAAACTGTTATAATGGTTTGGTATGTGTCCCTTAATTTGACCTTGACCTGTAATGTGGTTTTTAAAGTTGACAAGGATACGTGACACATTCTGTTGTCACGTTTCACACTTTAGTCAACAGTAATTTCCTGATGAGAATGGTACACATATACACCACATCGGCGAAAAATGTGGATAGATTTAATAGAGATTTTCTAAAAAATATATTTTTCTTTGTTCCATTTTTTATTTCTAAATAGACTTAAAAATAACTGACCTTTGATTTCTTATTGTGACCTTGACACACATATTTTAAATATTATATAAAAACTACAGCACCAGCATTTCTACAACAATATGTGGTCCTCTTTTCACATGGAATGAATGCATACATCAGAACATTTAAGTAATTACATATATCACAGACGCACTAGCTATTGTGATAAAGCCCTACCACAATGTATAGATATTGTATTTAACATATATACTGTGTATCAATACATTGTATGGGGTGATGCTGAGAGTTTCAGATGAGAGCATATTTATATATGCTATCTTAAAACAATCAATTACAAAATGCCCAGGATGAAAAATGTAATCCATCTGTACAATTTATATAAAAAAATAGTTGCATTCCCTCATGTAATATGATACTGGTTGTATCAACTTAATTTTGTGTTTCTGCAGTAAAGATATAAATAAATATATACATACAAAATAAAAGATGTACTTTGTAACAATACAGTTCAAGATTTACAGAACTAATTACTACTCAGAAGTTCTGATCAATAATTGCTAAAATATATTGTACACAAAGTTCAGTTAAGAGGTCAGATTTATGATTGACTATACCTTATGGAACCCTGTGGCTTTATAAACAAGAAATGATTGGAATATGCATTACTTTATCTGTTTACTCTGGATACCTCCCATAATATCTGGTCAACAAAATAGAGTGATTAATACCAGTTGTTATAACTTGTTTCATATTTTTTGTATAAAACGAATTTATGAAAATGTTATTTATATTAACTTCAACACACTAAATTGCACTCAACCATGGCAAAAATAGCACACAAAAGAGAAGGTAAGTTATATGTACCATAGGTACATACGAGGATATGTACCATAGGTACATACGAGGTAGTGCCATATAGGTACTACCTGGTATGTCAATACACCCATAATATATTCTTATGGCTGTATTGACAGACGAGGCTAGTACCTGTGGTTATACATTTATATACCAATTAACATAAACAATTGTGTAGCTCCAACCCTTCTGATAAAATAGACTAACAATTCTGTTACTACAAAAAGATTAACAATTCATCACTGTTTGAAAACAATGACAATCAAGTATCATGTGTAACACAATAGACAACAATTCAGTATTGTATTCCACATTTCAATATTGTGTGTAACATTAACTGGTTTTTTAATATCGTTTATAATAGACTAAACATTCAGTATTGTTTATATGAGACTAACAATTCAGAATTGTTTGTTTTAGATTAACTTTTCAGTATTGTTCACAATGGACTAACACAACATTCAGTATTGTTTATATGAGACTAACAATTCAGAAATGTTTGATTTAGATTAACTTTTCGGTATTGTTCACAATGGACTAACAATTCAGTTTTGTTTGTAATAGACTATCATGATCAGTTCAGTATTCTTTGTAACGGTCTAATAATTCAGTATTGTTTGTAACGGTCTAATAATTCAGTATTGTTTGTAATAGACTATCAGTTCAGTATTGTTTGTAACGGTCTAATAATTCAGTATTGTTTGTAACGGTCTAATAATTCAGTATTGTTTGTAATGGTCTAATAATTCAGTATTGTTTGTAACGGTCTAATAATTCAGTATTGTTTGTAACGGTCTAATAATTCAGTATTGTTTGTAACGGTCTAATAATTCAGTATTGTTTGTAACGGTCTAATAATTCAGTATTGTTTGTAACGGTCTAATAATTCAGTATTGTTTGTAACGGTCTAATAATTCAGTATTGTTTGTAACGGTCTAATAATTCAGTATTGTTTGTAACGGTCTAATAATTCAGTATTGTTTGTAACGGTCTAATAATTCAGTATTGTTTGTAACGGTCTAATAATTCAGTATTGTTTGTAACGGTCTAATAATTCAGTATTGTTTGTAACGGTCTAATAATTCAGTATTGTTTGTAACGGTCTAATAATTCAGTATTGTTTGTAACGGTCTAATAATTCAGTATTGTTTGTAACGGTCTAATAATTCAGTATTGTTTGTAACGGTCTAATAATTCAGTATTGTTTGTAACGGTCTAATAATTCAGTATTGTTTGTAACGGTCTAATAATTCAGTATTGTTTGTAACGGTCTAATAATTCAGTATTGTTTGTAACGGTCTAATAATTCAGTATTGTTTGTAACGGTCTAATAATTCAGTATTGTTTGTAACGGTCTAATAATTCAGTATTGTTTGTAACGGTCTAATAATTCAGTATTGTTTGTAACGGTCTAATAATTCAGTATTGTTTGTAACGGTCCAATAATTCAGTATTGTTTATTGTAATTGACTAATAAATATAACAATTCCTTATCTTTTATAATTGACTAACATTTCAGTATGATTATGTATTGAGTGTAACATATAATGAACTATCAATTCAGTATTGTTTATACTTGACGAATATTTCAGTAGTACAAGTATATATGCAACATATTATCAATTTTAAACTTTTAACAGAACACATATGATAAAACACCATTGTTATACATAACACAAATAAGAAACTCGTTCATTAGAAAGCACCAATAGCCAAGGAGGAATACACAACACATACATAGACGTACGGAACACATGATTCAGTTTATAATACCCATATATAGCATTTAATGAACACACATCCTAGAACACTAGCAACAAGTGTTAGAAGCACCGGCCGGAATCCTATCTATGAATACAGATCTCATAGATATAAGAAAGCACTAAGAGCCAAGGAGGAAATACTCAACACAACAAAACATGGATGACCTAAACCCAGGATATACATTATGTAGCTTATAGTACCTATATATAGCATTGAATGGTAACAAATCCAGGATATACCACAGATAGGCACTCTTCCTAAAACATTAACAAGTGTCAGAAACAGGGACCAGACACATGTCTGTGTACACCTACTATATAGTATTACCCCTTGACAAGACCTTTACTTACCTCTAATTATTAGGACCTTTTGCCTTGCACATGTCCCACATATTACTACTGAGTGGCCCCTGTGGATCTGGCCATACAACATCTCCAACAAACAACCAGCTATAACTACAAACTGTAACTCTCTGAACACAGGAATCAAGAAAAAGGAAGATGAAAATAGATTGGAAATATATATATATGCATAAAACGTCATGGGTCAGGCTGTCGTTAACAAGTGTAAGGGATTGAGGCATCCAAAAGAATTCAATCCGTCAAATATTATAGTTGATACAGGAATACCAGAGCCCACATACAAGATGACTTAATTTATCACTAGAAATGAGAATTAAACCTTGAACACTTAACTAGAGCTATAGTACATTCATGTAGCACATCAACCCCAACGGTTATCACTGACAACAGTCATGCCATTAAAAAAAAATAATTACATATTTGTATTTTCAAAAGAGCTGTCCATTATGAATATAAACTTAAATTGAAATATTAAGTGTAAGAGACAAGTTTAACAAACATAAGCTATATTGCAATGAAAGTTTCAACTCATTCACCTCTAAAGTTTCATTATAAACTCTTCCAGTTAAAAGGTTGGAATAGTTTATAATGAAACTTCAGGGGTGAATGAGTCAACTTCCACTATCCTAAAAGCTGTCAGGAGGACCAGTCTTAAGGACATAGATACTGGTCACAGTATTATTAATCTCATATCAAATACATATTTTATAATAATTTTACTAAAATATACTCTGACATCATATAAGTAATGCTTATTTCACAGGAGAATGTGTACAACAATCCTACAAAAAATAAAACTTCTTATCACAGACAAACAATTTGCATTTTCAGTTCCTACATTTGTAATAATTGTGGTTTTTGCTATTTCATAAAGAATATGTTTATTGCCAACAGTATTCATGCTATACAAGCAGTCAAAATGAATTAAGGTAAAAGAGAATGACATATACATATATTTCAATGATCAATAGAGTATGACTATATAAGTTATAGGGTATTTGGTGATCAGGCTTAATATTTCCCTACATCTAAGCATATCCTTGGGTGCCAGTTTTGAGAGTACTTTTCATTTTAATAAATATCTTGTGTCATTTCTCACAACACCTAAGTGAGGTAGTGTAACCAAGAAATATCCATTAAAAAACCTCATAAACAACAGAGATCAGCAGAGAAACCATTTGTTAGAAAGAGCATATGTTCTGGATTTCTATTTAAACCCATTGTTCTATAGTAATGCCCATACTCTACATTATATATATAATATGTATGAGTTTGTGTTTGTGTGATATGTTCTACAGTACATAGAATTATCAGAATATGGTACATCCATGAAATCACAAATATTTGTACAACATAAAGACATGAAATGTACTAAAATGGTAAAATTAATATACATTCATGTACATGTAGATACAGAAAAAACTCCAATTTCAAAGCTAAATATTATCATTTTTTTTTTATAACATCTGTCCAATTGATTTTTTTTACAGACTTAATTTAGAAACCTTATTATATAACATGATACCTGGGTAAAATCCAGCCAATTATTACAGCAAAGGATTTCAATAAGCATAATGATTACCATAGTAAAACAAATAGCACACTGCACCAAAAGATTGCACCCCAGTGGCAATTTACCTGTAGAAGGGGAAGTAACTGCTATAAAGCTTGTGCAATAAAAATAACCAGACTTTATACATAAATCAATTTGGTCCCACTATGAATTTTATATATACAACTGTGTGATGGTGAGGGTGTTTGTGTGTCTCTTAATGTAAATATTGATCAATTAGAATTTATGTGTAGTTTTTAGACCAGTTCTGCTATACTTTTGTGTAGAATTTCACTGTCTGGTAGCTATGAAGTGTACGTATTGTTATACAATAGGAAGACACACGGTGGTAACAACTGTACACATGTGGGTCTATCAGGACTGTGATATATTTAATTGCAGGAACTTGTTGTTCTGAATCTCCTGTATAATCACCGACTCTGAAGGCTCTTCTAAATTTTCTCTGAAATTATAAAAAAATACTTATTGATTTTTATTATTACAAAATTAGGACTTAGCCTCTGACATGCTTTGTAACGACTTAGTTATTCAAATCAGGGACAGTATATATACATTATACGTCCCTGTTCAAATTGACTGAAGATAAAATTGATAGTGCCAACTCAATTTTTTCACAGATCAATTGCCCAACATACAACTGATATTAAAGTGTATCTACCAGATATACATCCAATAAATCAAACAGATCATAACAGAAAGCAACAGCACAACTCATGTACAAAACTCCCATGGGAATGAAGTACAAGTGTATATCTATCATTCAAAATAAACATTTAATACACGTTTAATGTATAGTTAAATGTATATGGATTTGATTTAATAAATATTTTTTAATAAATAAGAATGGTACATAAAAAGGATGACATATTAAAAAGGTACCCACAAGAATTAATAATGCAGTAAAAAGGTACCCACAAGAATTGAAGATACATTAAAAAGGTGCACAAGAATTAATGACACATTTAACAGGAACACAAGAATTGAAGACATGTACATTAAAAAGGTACACAAGAATTGATGATACATTAACAAGGTACACTAAAAGGATGACACATTAAAAAAGAACACAAGAAGGATGACACATTAAAAAGGAACACAAGAATTGATGACAAATTAAAAAGGAACACAAGAATTGATGACAAATTAAAAAGGAACACAAGAGGTGATGACACATTAAAAGGGCACAAGAATGAGGACACATTAAAAAGGTACACAATAATTTATGACACATTAAAGAAGCACACAATAATTGATGACAAATTAACAAGAGTGCATCTATTTATAATACTTGGATAATACTGATTTTATTGCACACATCCCCTTACGAAGAGTCATGTTTTTTCTGTGTCATTTACCTGAACATTTCGTGGAGTGACATATAGTGAAGAGATTCTGTAAAGCTGTTGTTTCCCAGGTCTTCATTCCTCTCCTCCTGCTGCTGTCGACTACTACGGTCCCACTTCATGATGAAATTCTTCAGGAAAACAATTCATTTCAAATAGATGAATGTCTTCCATCTATGTAATTTTGTGTTTCAAAAAACACAATATAAAATTTAAATAATTGTCCTATTACTGCAATTTTCCTAAAGTATCTAGCATACAAATGTTCAAAATCAGAGTCTGTTTAGAATGTCTTCTAAATTTATATAAAGGAGGAACCCATTTACTCTTTAATAATCCACTGAAGTTATTATTCCTATCAGTCAAATATCATCAAGTTGGTTTGCAATTGCATACTTTAATTTGTATGCAACAATAGTTTGTATGCAACATTTTCATTGATTATATTTAATAAGAGCAAACATAATGGTGTCAATGAAAAATTGTGATTTGTTTTAAAGTAAATTTAAGATTCAGCAGGTATATACCTTATGTATAAAACTCACTAGGGTTACATTAGTTGTACTGTAACGGAGACGTAGCCACGTATATACATACCTCGATGATTAGGGCTGTGAAAAGCTGTAGCACTATTATAACAGATACCAGCCACCAGACTATAAAGTATATATAGCTCCACCTACAAATCAACACAGATTGTATTATAATTGTCTCTAAATATTGGCAAACAAAATATACAAGTACTTGTTTTTTTAATTATACGTAATATACTTTTAACTTTGCATCAATGATTCCTTTCTTATTTCCAAGGAATTCTCTGAAAACACTTTCATTCAGGACACTATTTCGGAATTACTGTCCTGAATTAAAATTTTCCTTAAATGAGAAACAAAGTGACACTTAAATGCGGAATTATTGCAGACACATTGAAATTTGAAATAAGCTTATAATTTTATTTTAAACACAACTTCCTATCATAAAACATTATCAAAATGCTTATATGGCCCTGGTTATTCTGAAAAGACTTCATGAGATATCGATTAAATCAACAAACATCACTGAAAAGAAAGGTACACTGTATATTGCCAATATCATTTCAGTAATTATTTGGTGTATGACAGATAAGGTAACAGTTTACGTACTGAGACAGAGCCTTGGCGTACGCTGCCAGGAATATGCTCCAGTTATTGACAACCATCACGTCCCACAATACAACAATGGCTGCCTACAACAAAGACAAAAACTAGTGTATGGTATTTTATAGCAATTTTATCTTTAATAAAAGAAGGTATTTTCAACTAATGCTGTCACCATCAAATAAAGTTTTACACTGATAGGATATTAAAGCAGTATATATCAATATTAGCTGTCCTTTTCTGCCCACACTCTGTAATATCAAAACAAGTTAAAATAAGCTCATAGTTCTATGCATTATTTTCAAACACATTTAAGATTTGATTTTGGGAAATCTATGTACATGTAAGTGTAACTAATTCATTGGATCAATGAACATCAATACATTTATGCTGATGTAACATAATTTTTTTATGACTTTAGGTAACGTTCCCCTGGTTTCTGGTTTCAATAGTGTACAGCACAGTCGTCATCCAAAAAAATTCTGAAGAGCTTAAATTGAGCTGTACTATATATTGAAAAGGCAAAAAAGAGTGCTAAATTTTACTAAAATTGGCTTGATTTTGATTTTATCAAAAACTAACATAAATGTAGTATTTATCTTTATGCCTTTAAAATGTCAACACATACATTTTTCTGCCATCTTAATAGGATTTACTTTTGCATTAGCTTAACGTTTTGAAGAACTTTATTTCATTCACCTTGAGAAAAGTTGCTATTATGGGTTAAATTCTGTATATTATCTTAGATGTATACAATGTGGTTCTTTAAAACATGTACAGACAATCGATATATACAGCAGGGGCAGCCGAATGACAAACACCTATTTTATCTGTAAATAATTGCTACGGAACTCACTTCACAAGTCAAGTTTCAGTCATTCAACTTTTTTCTCACAATCCTATACATAATCTTTCAATTTCCCATCAAAGTCATCTTCATTTTCAAGCATATGGGAAATACTGGAAATACAGATGAATGTATCAGCACATATATAGCCTGAAACCATGCAATGTTTTAAGGTCGATATCCAAAAACTACATTATATGTTGAAAACTTACTGCAAAGTCATCAAAGTTGTTGGCCCAGTACTCGAGTTGTTGGTATGTCCCACAGTCATAGGCAAGGCTAGGGGGGAAACAGAATGTTAAGCTTTACATATTAGTAAATGTCACAAAGACATACATTATACAGAATGTGTAAGGAAATTGTGTAAATAACCTTTACTAAATGTAAGATAATAGAAACCTGTGTAATGAAAAGTTGATTTTACCTAGACAAAACATCTCAATAAGATTACGGACACTTGCATTGTAAGCATTTCACCATAGGCATTTTATTCCAGTAATATTTTCCAGACTAGAGTAGAATGTTTCCTATATCAGGAACATTGTATATGTACATGACCTAGATCATTCATGATAAAGATATAAAAAATGTAACCTGTGAGAAAAATAAATAAAACAAAACTGTTAAATAAAAATGATTTCAAAATAAATCAAATTGGAATGTGAGACGGGTATATGTGAGGTAAACTCACCTGCCTGCTACAGTGCTATTTGGCTCTGTGAAATTTATAACATCGTGGAAGATCTCTATACCCAGTATAGCAAATGAGTAATATATCACCTGGGGAGAAAGGAAATGATTTAGATATAGTTATATTGTCATTTAGGTAGCAATATCTTAACACAGATAGTCAAACTTAAATGAAGTTTCAAATTCCAAAAATATATCAAGAAAAACCTTCTGAAAAGGGTACTTCTAATATACATGTATACAGTCTTTGCTAAAAAACTTTACTGCATGGCTAATTATATTACGATTCCTCAAAATTGATCAAACTTCGACTCATTTGGCGAATTGGTCGAGTGGTTAATACTTCGGCCTTCCACGCAGGTTCAATCCCCTAAGTTGTCATGCGCATCGATATTCAGAGAAAGTGTTTTTCTCCTGCCCGCACAACTCCAACAATCCAGGTGGAGTATGAATTGGTCTGGGGTGGATGTTGCAGTATCTGTGCTGTAGCATTCCAGTGAGGCAGCACTATAAATAATGTCGTTTGAAGCTCGGTCCCACTACATACAGAACATATTACATCTCCAGCACACACACATCGGGAGATATTAGCCAGGTGGTATAGGTTTAGTAGTTAGTGCCTGATAAGGCAGCTCCTGCGAATTCCTCAAAATTGTACTGGAAAGCACTTTAGAGTGGCTTATGTTAGCTAGATAGGGCGCTATATCAAATGTTTATTATTATTATCATTGTTAATGTGCATGTAGTGAATTCTGCGTAAGATGACACCCTACAATTCTGTCATAATGATATACAGCTGTAATTCCATTTCATATTTCAGATAATATGGTATGTTCTGATACAGCCAATCTGCTGTATCTGACAGGTTGTCATACTAGACAAGTTTCATTGATATCGTGTCACGTTTTTTTTATTACTATAAATGAGAATGGAGAATTGTCTTTGAGCAGTTTTGTACTTACCACCAGGATACCACCAAAAGCTTTCAGATTCTTTATAAGATCCACAAGGGTATTGGCGACAATAGACATTGCCTGGAAAAAATATATTATTTTCTCTAAAGACATCAATTCAACTATAGGCACCCTGTTACTTGCCCCTGTATGATTAATTATTTGTTAAGGGATTCACAATACTTTATCTACTACTCCTAAAGTTTGTTCTTTGGTTGATATTCTTAAAGCACCTGCCACAGTGTGTTTGTTTACAGAAATGTAGAAAAATTATCATATAAGGAACATATTATGTTTGCAAAATGAGGACTACAGAATCCAAATTGACCATCTTGAAAATGTAGCTACCAGTAATTGTTTCCATATATCAGGAACTGGTATTTCGTGAACAATGTGTCAATGACAGATACAGTCACCTTTTACTATGCCGAAAGAGCAAAACTTCACAAAATTTTAACATCTGAATTATTATCATTCTTGCTATTTATATAAGGTTACTGTCAAGAAACAGAAAGCAATATCACCAGTAAATTGATCTAGTGAATTCAGGATAGAGCAGATTACAGACATCAATGATAACGTCTCAATACTTTAAGTGAGCCGGCTGATACAAACCTTAATGTGAGGGATGATCCTAAACAGTCGCACCATGATAAGGATGTTGATGATGCGGACAGCATTCCAAAGGGTCAGCTGATCATGGACTTCCCCAGCCCTGGCACACAAAACACACTATGGTCACCATACAAATATCCTAATTTAATATTCGGAAGCAAATTGATTGAAACAAATACATTTCCCAGAAATTGTCATTTTTAATGCATTGACAATAAACCATTTACTCTTTGCGGGTCAAATACAGTGTATCAACATTTCATGCAAATGTTTCTTGACTAAATAGTTTTTCACATAAATATCTTAACTGTTAGATATTATTCTAATTTTGCATCTTTGTACAGGTACATAGATTTATATTAGAGTGACAGACAATTCCGAAAAGCTTTTTATAAGTTATAATGTACTAACTGTTACACAAAAAACGTAAACTCATTTTTCATATGTAAAAATCTACTTACTTTGATAAAGGAAGACCATATTTGGCTATTGAAAATATTTCTAATATCTGCAAAAAAAAAAAAATAGCTTTCCTCAGTATGAAGTTATTTTAGAAACATTTCTTTTACCATGCTTACTAAGTTTTGTATGGCACAAAAATGATTCTGTATTAAGCATGATGTTCATATCTACTGCTCTCAATTGTTCTATGATACAGACATGAATTATACATAAATTGTCTGAAAGTCATCATAAAATAAAAAGAATTTAATTTCAAAATCATTCAAAAAGGATTTTATATGGTAAATGGTAAGTTGAAAAATTCTGATTTTTTTTTTAAATTTTATTACTTTTGATCCATATAACGCATGATAATTACCACAAGAAAAACGGTAGTGATGCCGTCAAAAATGTTCCATCTTTCATACACATATCGTTTCCATCCCAGGGCAGCTATCTTGAGAGTTTGCTCAAACAGGTAGTACAAAATGAAGGCAAAATTCACAATCTGCAAAGTGAAACACAATATGTAATTTCAAACACAATCACAATCTGTAATTTCAAACACAATAAATAAAATTTTGTTTATTAAACCAAATAAACTTGATTTTAAAGTGTGTTACCATATATTAACAAGACTCCTTATAGCTTATGCATCTTTTGTTTTCTTAATTTCAAAAAGATATTTTCAGGATTTTTTTAAACAATCTTAATTGACACATGTACATGTACAAGTACAACAAGTACAAAACACACTGGACACAGTCACGACTAGCACCCTTTCTTTTATATCTACATTGTCTTTTTTGACAGTACGCTTGACATATATATCAATTTGACTTTTCAAGAAACTTTGAGGGATGATGATAACTATGAGCCTCACTAAGTAGGGTACTTTGATCATTCTGTTAAGTTGCTTCTGAGATAAGCATCCTCGAGCCCTGTAGTGATACTTACATTGAGAGCTGATTTACTGGAGTTAAGAGATTTATCGTACTGAGTCGCAAGTTCCACCTGTTAAACATTAACATATAAGACAATTTAAGGAAACACTGATCTAAGAAAAAACATTTAACTTCAATACAAATATGAGTTTACTCAAAAATAAGATTTGAAGGATATAATCAAATCATTAACAAAGACTTAAAACAATATCTGATCATACAAGTTAAATGAGGATTAGTTCTAATTTGAGAAAAATACTTATATCAAAAAGGCAACTAACAATTGGAAAATAATTTACTTCGACCTAGTACATCTTACATTGTAGACAACATGTCCAAAACGAGTTCCAGGGAATTTTTCTAAACATTTTCTTCAGGTTGGTAAGTATGGATTATGAGAAGTTCTTTTTACACAACCAATACAATTTTCTATGCGACTTTTCGATGACTAGTATGATATGTACACTGTCACCTTCATCAGACAAATGACCAGGGAACCTAAGAAATTACTTAGCTACATGTTCTGCAGGCCTTACAGTTTCATATTCATGAGAGAATTGGGGACAAGACGATGCCTGTGTTGTAGGGAGTACTGTACACTTTATACAAACCATGTTTTACTGTACATCAACAGCCACATAACACTGGAGTTTATTTGAGTATCATACCTTAATTCAATAATGCAGTGAAAACCGACTTACAGAAATCATGACGACATTGAACAAGGCTACAACATTGCCAAAATAGTTGTAGCCTCGGTGGGCAATTACTCGCTGTATCTGACGGAGGATGGGGTTAGACAGCCACCGTACTTCTGGTTTCTATGGAAACAATAAAATAAATAATGAAAATTTCTCTTGCAAAGCGATTAAAAATTGAAGTAAAATTATATTTGTTTCAAGTCAATAAATACTAGGAAAAAAATAACAAGAAAAAATAATAATAAAAATTACCATGATGTACATGTATGTACAAGTTATTTCTACATTAATTTAATGCTATTACAATGCAGTATGGAAGTATATAGCAGTATTATAGCAGATTCTATTTAAGGCTCTCAGCATGTACTGTAAGCGTGTTGCTGTATGTGTTTAAATTACAATATTTTATTATAACCCAATTATTTATCTTTCTTTTTTTTCTTTTATAGGATCCCAATAATTCTGCCACAGTAAGCAAGATTAACTAGATTCAAGAGTACAAAGGTTATTACAATCTTATCTTTAAATTGTGCAGGTATTAATTTCATTAGAAAATTCAGAAACAGTTTCTATCAATATATACTTGCATGTCGAGTAAAAGATTCTTTCACTATAAGATCAAAACACTCCTGAAACTGTAGGTTCTGTAGACTATCAACTTGATTTGTCTGTCTTGCACTCAAGTCCTGAAATAGAAAAAAATAAAGAAATTTTAATGAGAATCATGAACAATAAAGATAACCATGTAGATACCCAACCATATTGATTTCCTACCTGATAAAACTGCTCTAAAGAAATCTCCAGCAGACACATTTAGCTAGAGAGGTCTGAATAACAAGGAACAAAGTCCTTTGTTTGACACCAGGAAACTCAAGTTATTTTGTGACAATAAACAACCTAAATGACTATTAAGGAATGACTGATCTTGGCCATCTGTAGGTCAGTATTAATAGAAGAGTCACTAATTTATTAGGAAAGTTAACAGGAATTTAATAGGAAAGGTAATGGATGCAGGCACTGGGTACCTCTATATCCATATCTTGTACACTGTACGTATAATACTATTTGTCTCTTCCGGATATCTAACTAGCCAAACGATTGTATTTAAGCTCTATGTTTCTTACAGTTGTTAAATTTATGACATGTTCGGGAACATTCAAATATCGATAGTTCTGAAATCAAGTGAGTATTTTTCTAACATCTAGTCTAGAGTGTTTTTTCTTCAATTTTTAATACAGGTAGTAATTTCAATAACAATACATTTGTGACAAGTGTAGTATGATAGGTATTGTGACAGGTGTATTACGAGACTGTTATTTTAATAACTACAGATACATTACCTGAGATATGGCCATTTTGACTTTTTTTGGTAATGTAACATCATCTAACACCAATTTCACTGTTTCTATAGCAACACCAGACCTGTAAACATAAGTATGAACACTAGTTTTATCAGACGAAAAATGAAACTATATATATATATATCCTAATTAACAGGAGGACAAAACAATGGCCAGGGCCCGTATTCATGAAACCGTTCTAATGCTCAAGCATGGATTCTGTGCTCAAGCCTAATACGGGCCCAGGTATCCAGGAAGGGTAAGGTCTAAGCGTAAATACATCACACAATGCATATCAAACAGATATTAAAAGTCTAGAGTTTGAGAGTCATTGGGAGATGATAGATATCAGGGCACATATAAGACATCTGCAGAGATCTAAGGGAGAGAAAAAACGTGGGAGAAACGATACACATATAAGGGATGTGATGAAACAGGACATTAAGGAATAATAGCTGTAGTTAAAATATATAACAGTAAATAAACAAATCCAAAACAATTGAATTAGAATAAAACGCAATGTAATAATCAACACCCAGACTGTGTGGTCAATGACACTACGATAACAGTTATCAGTAGTAGTATAACCTTCAGTATAAAGTCAATCCCCTGTGTGGACAATCTAATCTTGTCACTGCCCTGATGTATCTGACCACACTATCAGACTAGATGATCTGTCACTGACTGACCAGTGATCTGGTCAACAACACATGTGTCAAATGTAAACAAATCTAAATGTCCACTAAATGCAAATTATTCTAGTTTACCAAATAAAATGTCCCTGTTCATTCTCTACATTTTCATTCAATGTTTTTATCTGATTTCTTTAAAATTGTAATGTTATAAAAGGGTATAAGTCCATAAGTTACTATTTTATTAGTAAAATTAACTGTAACTGTAAAAGGATCAAAACAGTTTTTCCATATAGATTCTTGTCCCTTTATTTCATTCAATCAGAGAAAATGCAACATATCAAATATGATTTCATACATTTCTGAATTCAAAATGATTTGATTACAATACCACATTCACTAAAAGTCAGTGTAACAGATAATTAGAAAGCATTTTAACAGAGAATTAGAAAGCAGAGAAAAAAACCACAATCAAGTCAAGAAATCACAGATAAAATGTGATAAAACGTTCCAACACTACATTATAATGTACCGGTACTTACTCTGGAGAACTAGCCACTTGAGTATAAAGGTCTCTGTCCTTTAGCACCTCATACGCAGCCCGCACCCCAACCCTCCGTCTCAACAGACTAGCTTGCATGGAGGTCTACAGAGAACATTCGATGGAAACTTATACAGGTTTTATATCTACATCAAGCAATGTAAATATTCAAGTGTAACAGTGATGGGCCAAAAGCATGGATAACCTTTATAACACCTTCTGTAGAAGCTTTCTTCAACAGTCACATGATCATTATTTTTGTTAAGTCTTAGTAAAGTTTATATACACCACTGTGCCATAATGGTCCAGTCAGCTGTTGAATCCACTATATATTATATACCTTAATGTTCTGTCATTGAATTGTTTTCAATTATAGAGTATAACAAAATTCGCACAAAAGCAAATCCTTTATTTCTGAACTAAAGGCAATTGTTGAATTATTTAAGATCAGTGTAATTTTGCAGCCATCATGCCAAAATAGTTACCAAGGTCGAAGGCATAATATAATCCCATTTGGATTGTCTCCCCTTTTTGGTTGTCTCTTATTGCCTTCACCCCTGTCAACTATTTTTGATGGTAACTACCAAGTACAATACTAACACTGAGATAAACACAACACTGGAATAGAAGACACAAATTACAAGTTCACCATTCCTTTCTTTTACTGTGATTTCATTTAGAAATAATTAGACACAGGTACATGCAGGTTCAAATCCTTATAATCATATTTTTGGTAAATTAGATGTTTAGAAAACATAGTTTACCTTAAAATAACCTCTAAACTGGTTGTAGATCACAGCCAGAAACATGTTCATAAAACAGTAGTTGCCTGGGAACGAAAGAGGAAAAAAAATCACCATTTACTGGTACATGTATCATGATTTGCATATAAAAGACAGCAATTTACATTTTAGACAAATTCTGTAAACTCTGAAACTTTATAACTGATTTCTGTGAATTATTAAGTATTCTTCTTAAAAATGGAAAAAGTCTGTCAAATTGTACGGATACATTTACCATTCACCAATTCGTTAAAATGGCCGCATCTGCATACAAACAACTCACTGTACATACACTTGGATTTTTTTAGTTTTTAGTTTGTACTGTATCTTTATTTGAAAGAATTAATATTATCACTCAGTTTTAAAATACATGGTTTAAAATATTACAGGTATTTGATACCTTTTTTTTTTTTAGTTTATCCAATTTTAACAAATAAGATGACATACACAAAATAACCAAAACTATATATACTCTAGCTATAGGTCTAACCATAGGAGCCTGAAGTTCTGTCAATAATGAATAATAATAGTATTACACAAAAAATACCCCTAATATGCTTAAAAGTATTACTATTATTATTCATTATTGACAGAACTTCAGGCTCCTATGGTCTAACCAGTAAGTACATTGTCTGTTTTTTAGTACTAAGTATCCAATAGATTCATTTTAAGTGGAATAAAATACACATACATATAATTCAATTCTGAACGATCTTCATGTACTTACCAATCAACAAAAATGTAATGAAATACAATGCATAGAACCTGTTGTGTTGATATGCAGGCATCATGACTGGAACAGACAGAATACGTTGATATAATACAGAATGAGGCACATTACTGTTATAACAAATACTCTTCACTCAGGGTAAAAGGACACACTTGCCGCAGGTTAGTTTGTTGAAAAATTTCTAAAATAGATTGTTTATTTCATTTATCGGTATCAATAGTTTAACACAACTTTATAAATACGCATTACGAAATGTTCCAAGTTTTCACTCAACTTTACCTGTATATGTCATAAACACCTGGTTATATTTCTTAACTTGCATTGCTGTAGTTTTTAATCTAAAGAATATCTGTAACACAGAAATTGAAACCAATATAGATTACAGGTCTTGAGTGCCTTATATATTATATATATACCTGTTAATAAAGATTTGAGGGCTCTGTAATAAACAGACAAACATGGCAGATCATCTTCTTATTTTTCTGCATGCCCAAACAGGGGTCTCAATATACATGTAGCTCATTTATTTTTCAAAATTTATAACTACGTGTAATGCTTCCCCTGCCCTGTCAGCTTTAAGCCTGAAGCCCTGTCAGCTTTAAGCCTGAAGCCCTGTCAGCTTCAAGCCTGAAGCCCTTTCAGCTTCAAGCCTGAAGCTGATGTTGTTTGTTACTCACCATCAGGGTTATTAGCTGTGGTCAGTAGAACCAGTAAGTTCATGAAGGCATTAGAAATGGTCCTAAAATATATATTACCCTCTTGTACCTGTGAAAGACAGATTTTACAATCTTAACTCTTTAAATTTGAATGTCACATTACATATATCTCAGAAGGTGCAAAATGATAGTACAGTTTTGGACAAATTTGCATATATTTTTAAAGCATTATTACCTGCTATGTATATACATATATATAGGTATCAGCTCAATAACTAAATTCAGTTTAGGCTAAGCTACTTGTCAGAGATGTTTTAAATTATTGTTATTGATTATCATATAACTATAATGTCTGATGATAGTATCAGTGCAACATATAAAACTAAACTATGATAACCATATCACTAGCTGGTCTCAACTCCGAGGTGAGCTGACAAGCCCAATTGTAAATTATGGTCTTGAGGGTTTTATAGTAAACATTTCGATAAAACCCATTGCAATATCACAGCTTAGCAATTTACATACCACTGGTACCTCTGTGGTGTTGGATATAGGCGACATGGTGCTACTGTTGGAACCATTCCCTGTCAGGAAAACCTCCACTGAATTATTTGTAGTGCTGTCAGTGTCCTGTAAGACAAACCATGCTTATATTATGTACTTGTCAACAGTATTATAGTGCTATTTTTAGTCTTAAAGAATAATTATCCTTTGGGAGAGGTTTGGATACGAATGACTAATCTCATGTAGGTAAAAACACAATAAGGTACTTTTCAACCAAATGTTGACCCATCATCAGCTTTAGTTCATAAATAATGTTATACTGTTAAATGCACAACACCATGGGACAGAATATACTAATGTAAGGGTTTGACTGATTTGTTGTATCGTCATACAAAGAATTGGGAAGATACGTGTATGTTACATTAAATATGGAGTCTCTTAACATTCCAAGGCTGTGAACTTGGTGCTAATATGACAGTTGTAAACTTACTCTTGGAGTGGGAAACAGCAGCATCCCCAGGAGTGTGAACACATACAAGTGTAGGGCCAGCAATAACAACACACTGAAAACACATGTATCAGGAATTACACACTGAAACACATGTATCAAACATTACACACAGAAACACATGTATCAGAAATTACACACTGAAAACACATGTATCAGAAATTACACACTGAAAACACATGTATCAGAAATTACACACTGAAAACACATGTATCAGAAATTACACACTGAAAACACATGTATCAGAAATTACACACTGAAAACACATGTATCAGAAATTACACACTGAAAACACATGTATCAGAAATTACACACTGAAAACACATGTATCAGAAATTACACACTGAAAACACATGTATCAGAAATTACACACTGAAAACACATGTATCAGAAATTACACACTGAAAACACATGTATCAGAAATTACACACTGAAAACACATGTATCAGAAATTACACACTGAAAACACATGTATCAGAAATTACACACTGAAAACACATGTATCAGAAATTACACACTGAAAACACATGTATCAGAAATTACACACTGAAAACACATGTATCAGAAATTACACACTGAAAACACATGTATCAGAAATTACACACTGAAAACACATGTATCAGAAATTACACACTGAAAACACATGTATCAGAAATTACACACTGAAAACACATGTATCAGAAATTACACACTGAAAACACATGTATCAGAAATTACACACTGAAAACACATGTATCAGAAATTACACACTGAAAACACATGTATCAGAAATTACACACTGAAAACACATGTATCAGAAATTACACACTGAAAACACATGTATCAGAAATTACACACTGAAAACACATGTATCAGAAATTACACACTGAAAACACATGTATCAGAAATTACACACTGAAAACACATGTATCAGAAATTACACACTGAAAACACATGTATCAGAAATTACACACTGAAAACACATGTATCAGAAATTACACACTGAAAACACATGTATCAGAAATTACACACTGAAAACACATGTATCAGAAATTACACACTGAAAACACATGTATCAGAAATTACACACTGAAAACACATGTATCAGAAATTACACACTGAAAACACATGTATCAGAAATTACACACTGAAAACACATGTATCAGAAATTACACACTGAAAACACATGTATCAGAAATTACACACTGAAAACACATGTATCAGAAATTACACACTGAAAACACATGTATCAGAAATTACACACTGAAAACACATGTATCAGAAATTACACACTGAAAACACATGTATCAGAAATTACACACTGAAAACACATGTATCAGAAATTACACACTGAAAACACATGTATCAGAAATTACACACTGAAAACACATGTATCAGAAATTACACACTGAAAACACATGTATCAGAAATTACACACTGAAAACACATGTATCAGAAATTACACACTGAAAACACATGTATCAGAAATTACACACTGAAAACACATGTATCAGAAATTACACACTGAAAACACATGTATCAGAAATTACACACTGAAAACACATGTATCAGAAATTACACACTGAAAACACATGTATCAGAAATTACACACTGAAAACACATGTATCAAACATTACACACTGAAAACACATGTATCAAACATTACACACTGAAAACACATGTATTAAACATTACACACTGAAAACACATGTATCTGAAATTACACACTGA